TGGTGGTGGCCGGCGTCAGCCTGGAGATCGGCTCCTATGACGTGGAACGGGGCCGCGAGGCCCGATGCCAGCCCATCGAGATCCCCATGTGCCAAGGCATCGGTTACAACCTGACCCGCATGCCCAACTACATGGGGCATGAGGACCAGCGGGAGGCTGCCATCTGGCTGCAGGAGTTTGCCCCCTTGGTGGAGTATGGCTGCCACGTTCACCTGCGCTTCTTCCTCTGCTCCCTCTATGCCCCCATGTGCACCGACCAGGTGAGCACCAGCATCCCAGCCTGCAAGCCCATGTGTGAGCAGGCCCGGCACAAGTGCGCTCCCATCATGGAGCAATTTAACTTTGGCTGGCCAGAGTCCTTGGACTGCAGTAAGCTGCCCACCAAGAATGACCCCAATGCCTTGTGCATGGAGGCACCTGAGAATGCCACCCCTGGGGAAACTCCAAAGGGACAGGGCATGCTCCCGGTGGCACCACGACCCAGGCCCTCAGGGACTGGCGAGGGCAGGGGGCCAAACAGCTTGGGGTCATGTGAGAACCCTGAGAAGTTCCAGTATGTAGAGAAGAGCCTCTCCTGTGCCCCCAAATGCTCCCCTGGGGTGGATGTCTACTGGTCCCGGGAGGACAAAGATTTTGCCTTCATATGGATGGCGGTGTGGTCAACACTGTGTTTCATCTCCACGGCCTTCACAGTGCTCACCTTCCTGCTGGACCCACATCGGTTCCAGTACCCTGAGAGACCTATCATCTTCCTGTCCATGTGCTACAACGTCTACTCGGTGGCCTTTCTCATTCGCTCTGTGGCTGGGGCTGAGAACATAGCCTGTGACCGGGAGAACGGGGAGCAGTACATCATCCAGGAGGGGCTGGAAAGCACTGGCTGCACCATTGTCTTTCTCATCCTCTACTACTTTGGCATGGCCAGCTCGCTCTGGTGGGTCATCCTGACCTTGACCTGGTTCCTGGCAGCTGGGAAGAAATGGGGACACGAGGCCATCGAAGCCCACAGCAGCTACTTCCACATGGCTGCCTGGGGCATCCCAGCCATGAAGACCATCGTCATCCTCACTATGCGGAAGGTGGCAGGAGATGAGCTCACTGGGCTATGTTATGTGGGAAGCATGGATGTGGGTGCCTTGACGGGGTTCGTGCTCATCCCACTCGCCTGCTACCTGGTGATCGGCACCTCCTTCATCCTCACTGGCTTCGTGGCCCTCTTCCACATCCGGAAGATCATGAAGACAGGAGGCACCAACACAGAGAAGCTGGAGAAGCTGATGGTGAAGATCGGGGTCTTCTCCATCCTCTACACCGTCCCGGCCACATGTGTCATCGTCTGCTACTTTTATGAGCGGCTCAATGTGGATTATTGGAACTTCAGGGCACTGGAGCATGGCTGCATGGTCTTCTCCGGCCGGCACAACACCAACTGCTCCTTGGAAGCCTCGGTACCCACTGTGGCTGTCTTCATGCTAAAGATTTTCATGTCGCTGGTAGTGGGTATCACCAGTGGGGTGTGGGTGTGGAGCTCCAAGACACTCCAGACCTGGCAGAGCCTGTGCAACAGAAAACTGGGCATGAGGACTAGGGGGAAGCCATGCAGTGGGGTCACTTGTGCTGGGGCGCATTGCCATTACCAAGCCCCTGCAGTCATGCTACACATGACCAAACCAGATCCCTACCTGGACAACCCCACCCATGTCTAGTGCGGGGACTACCTTTGACTATGGACGAAGCACAGAGAATCTCTCACGGGTAAGGGATTGGGAGGGAAGAGAATGGGCCTGCGGAGTACATGCTCAGCGTTTGCGGGGATGGGGCTGGCCAGCAGCGTAGAGCTCACATGAGTGGAGCAATGGGGAGAAGAGGAGGTTGAATTGTGAGAGGGCAAATGCACCCTGGCTCGAGGATACTAGAGCCAAGAAACTCAAAGGGAGCTCTTTGGCAGAGGGTCTTGGCCCAGGTACCAGGATACCTGTTAAACTGGTCGCTGCTTTTCCTAGCGTGTTTTGGTTTTGTTGCTATTGCCAAACCCACTGGCTATTTTAACCCTTGGTTTTGAGGGGCAGAGGGAAATAATCCAACCGGAAGTTATTTAATTCTGTAATTTATTTTAACATTTTTTTAATCGCTAGCTGCAAGGAATGGAAACAATAAATCCTGGATGTGTTACTTCAACTGAGCTTCACTGTTTGTGGGAAGGGCGGTGAGAGCCAGGTGGGTAACCCTCTCCCACTGCCCCAACCGAAATGGAACCAAGCTGATGAAGTGTCGGGGGGGGGTCTGCACTGGTAGAACTAGAAGTGGGGCTGGCAGTTAGCAGCGTGTGTCAGGCACCCACTGGGAAGGGATTGGTGCCCCCAGCTCCAGCTCCCAGACGAGTGGCATGGGGTGGTGAGCTGCTATGGGGGCTTGGCAGAGTTAATGGGGGAACTGGAGAAGAGCTGTCATGCTTGTGCTGGGTGGGGGGGTACCCCAGAAGTGCTGTTGAATGGCATGTGTGCATGCACACAGCCTGATCACACGATGTAGCTCCTGTTCTGTCACACACCTGGATCCCCATACAGCTTCTCTGATGCTCTGCCCTGCAGTCCACCCCGTTCCTGTTCTAGTTCTGGGCTCCCCACCTGGTTCATGTTCTGTCCTGCTCTCCCTGCCCTGGTTATCCTCTGTCATGCCGAAGGCCCAGAGCAGCTCCCCTTGGAAGTTGGCCATGTGGCTTATACACCAGGGCTGCGTCTAGACTGGCAAGTTTTTCTGCAAAAGCAGCTGCTTTTGCGCAAAAACTTGCCAGTTGTCTACCATGGCTGCTTGATTTTGCACAAAAGCACTGACGTTCTACTGTCCGAAATCAGTGCTTCTTGCACAAATGCTTTGACGTTCCCGTTCGGGCAAAAGCCCTTTTCCGGAAATGTTTTTGCGCAAGAGGGCCAGTGTAGACAGCTAAGAATTGTTTTGCGCAAAAAAGCCCCGATGGCGAAAATGGCGATCGGGGCTTTTTTGCACAAAAAGTGCTTTTACGCAAAAGTGTCCGTGCCAGTCTAGACGCTCTTTTCTGCAAATGCTTTTAACGGAAAAGCTTTTCCGTTAAAAGCATTTGCGGAAAATCATGCCAGTCTAGACATAGCCCAGCTGTCTGCTCTATTTGGGCTGGAGAAAACGTCAGGCTCCTATCCTGCCTGGACAGCCAGGAGGCCAGGAATCATTCAGATGACACTGTCCCCGTCCCCCTGCTTTCCCCAGCCAGCTACCCTAGGCGAAAGGAGGGGCTCATGGCAGCTCCTGTTGTTCCCCAGCAGCACACCCTGGCCTTGCCTGGCCCTGTGACTCCTCGCTGTGGTCTGGAAGCCAGTTCCCCGAGGAGATCCTGCAGCTGCCAGCCAATGAGCAGAGACTGTTGTTAAATGGGTCCAGTTTGGGCGTTAAGGGAGGGGGCAGCAAGGGGCAGTCCAAGGCCAGTGCTCTTTGTTTCGTACTCCTCTGGGTTGAGCCAGCCGGGGTTGCCCCTCACCCTCTTCCCCTTGGCTGGGGCAGCTGCATGGCTCCCCGGTGCTAGTTTTGGCACCCTGCTCCCGCCGCAGGAGGCCGGTTTGCATGCTGAATGTCGGGCTCATGAATAATGTTTTCCACTGAGCTTTTCCTGTAGGTTGTTTGTGCAGGTACCTCCTGCTGCCGGCGCACGGGCGGGGGGAGCCCCAGGCCTGCAACGCCAAAGGGGAAACAAGTCCTAGTATGTGCTCCCCTCAGAAGTCACATGGCTTAGGCCAGCATGGGGCGGGGATATGGCTGGATGGGGGGAGTTCAGTGCCTGAGAAGTGGGCAGGGGTGGGTTGAGGGGAGAGGGAAGGAGGCCTGGGTATTTTGGACTGAATGGATGGAGAGTCTGAAGTTTTGTTCCTGAACCTGCATGGGGAGCTCTGGGAGCTGGGCTCTGGGCTGAGGGAATGACGCCTTTGAGGCGAGTGGAATGGAAACTTGTGTGGCTTCATTTACCCTCCGCTCCGGCTAGTCCCATCTTGGCTTGCCCATTGTCCCAAGAGAAACTAGGGCTTCCTGGGGCGTGGGGAGTCAGGAGCTAGCCCTGAGGCATAGGGAAGGGAGCCGGCTTTTTGCCCCAAGTAAGGAATTCACTGTCCAAACAGTACATGCGCCTTTGGATGTATGCACATGCACTGCTGTGTCAGTGTGCATGCCTGTATGCATGTATCTGTGCTTTTGAGTGTGTGCATGGGATAGCTCCCTGTGCGTGCCTGTGTGCACATAGCTGTGCCTTGGTCTGTGCACACGTACTGCTGTATCGGTGTGCACATCTATGTGCATGTAGCTGTGCCTTCGGGTGCGTGCATAGGACCACCTCCCCCTGTGTGCACCTGTGTTCACATAGCTATGCCTTTGGGAGATGTGCACACATTTTTGTGTCGATGTATGCGTCTTTGTGCACGTAGTTGTGCCTTCAGGTGTGTGCACACATTGCAGTATCGGTGTTTGCGTCTGTGTGAACATAGCTGTTCCTTTGATGTGTTTGTGGTTAGGTGGATTTACTGCCACGGTGTCCTCACAGGTCTCTGGCTCCATCGCTGCTGATAACCAGAAGGCTGCTTGCATGTGTGCTCAGTGATGTGGGCCCAATGAGACCCCAAGAGAGCCCCCAAAGACCACAAACCAGATAAGGGTCAAAGGTTCGAGGCCAGGTTTATTGTAAAGCCAAGTACAGTCATAGTTGTCAGTCGACTCTACCGAACCACTATGCATATGTACTTGCCACAATGGAATTCAAAAGCTGTTCCCCCAAGACCCCACCTTATATACAAGTACGAACAAATCACACCTCACTGCTGACATTGTCAGGTTACCACCCTCTGATGCTACTTAGATACCACCCATCACCCTGTACCTTGTAGTTTGATTAGATCATCTTTATCCATCCTGTTGTCATTTTAGACCCTTTCCTGAACCTGGGTCTGTATCTGTGAGGAGTGGGTGCCAAGATCTTTTTAATGAGCTAGTGGTATCGCGTGCTTTCCACTTATGGTCAGTACCATTTATTGTTCTGCATCTGGGCCTATTGCCAATTAGTGTTTTGCACACTCGGCCCTGTTCGTGCCAAGTTCTGTGGGATGGAGCCTGCCTCTTTTTCACAGCTTAGCTTTGCTTTGTTAGCCATGCTTTGCCCATTGTCATCTAGGCCTCAGGCCTCAGACCAGGCCTGTGCTGCATGGGCTTATGTTTTAGGCCTTCATCTTAATACAGTGTTGTGTGCTTGTATTCATGTAGCTGTAGCCTTCAGGTGTGTGCACACACGTTGCTGTGTCCGTGTGCTGGATGACTGGCCTGTGTGTGAGCACTCAGTGCCGGCAGGCTAGCCCAGGCTGAATGCCTGTTACTGGCACTAGGTAGCTCGCTGGTGGGGACATGCTTGACAAAAGGCTGGATCCTCTTCTCCACTGGGAGGCCCGAGCACTGGGGGAGGAGCAGGGGGAATTTGGGTCTCCCTCCAACTGCCGCTGGGCACAAAGTCGCTGTATCCTGGCCCCCTATTGGATAGGGCCAGGGGTTCCGCTGCACCCTCTGTTCTGGCAATCTCCAGAAGTGACCATGGTGGGAGCTTGGGCCATTTTTCTCCTTTTTGGGGTAGAAAGGTGGCGAGGGTTTATCCCAGGGAGCGCGGTTCCTATGTGGCCTTGATGGTCAGACGCAGCGCCCTGGCGGGTTCTGCAGTGACTGGAGCAGGTGCAATGTGGCCAGCAGGAAAGCCAGGAGCATGAAATATCTGCAGGAGGAGACTCTTGGGAACACTCTGAAGCCCTGGGCATCCTCAGTGTGTAATCACCCCTGGAGAGGAGGTCGGGGTTAAACATCCAGCACTCCTGCTTGCAGGCAGCCCCGACTGCCTACTAGTGGGCTGGCAGATGAAGGCGGATGCCTGTGTCTTGGAGCAGCGCTCCCAGGTTCCTTTATAAAGAAGCCAGAAGGCGCCCAAGCTCCTCTCTGCCCTCCGGCGCAGGCTGGTCAGAGTTGGCTTCTTGGCCCAGGGTCTGGGAGGTTGTGGCAGAACTTGTGGGAGGAGCTGGTCCTGCTGCACCTGCCTCCTGTCACATCTGTTCTGCACCGAGAGGGTTCAGGGCTGTTAGGAGACTCCTGGGGTCACCCTCCTGCTCTGGAGGCCGACAGGCCATTTCCTGAGTAGGGCCATGAAGTTCTATGTTTGGGGGGGCGGGTGCAGGGAATTGCACAGACAGAAGGTTGGGGAGGTGGGTAGCAGGGCTTGGGGATGCACTGATGTAAAGTTAACCAGGTGTGGAGGTGGGGCCCTGCCTGGCCTGAGTGAGGAGCACCGGGGACAGGTGGTAATTTTTAATGAGGGCCACTTCTACATTTTGGTAAGGGCGCAAGGGCAGCACTTTTCTATGGGTCTGGGACGCAGGCTCACTGCAGAAGGGAGCTTGGAGTAGGGGGCTGAGGAGCAGGAGAGGGAGTGGGGTCTGAGGGAACTTGGGTGAAGGAAGGAATTGTGCCCTGGGCAGGGCAGTGGAGTGCAGGGCTGGGAAGGGGGTTGTGGCTGGGAGAGGGGGGTTCTGAGAGTTTGGCTAGTGATGGGGGGCAGGGAGTTGGGGGTGAGGCAGGGGGAATAGGATGCTGAATGTAGGCTCTGGCCATGAGGTGCTTACCTAGGCAGCTCCTCAAACTGCTCAAAGTGGCTGGCAGCTGGGGCCATGTGCCCCTCTGTGCTGTACACCCCTTGCTGGAGAGGGAGGGAGACATCATGTGCTGCCCCTGCCCCACACATCACAGCTCACACTAGTCATTTCCATGAGGGGACGAGGCGCTTAGCTACTGCCAATGTACCCACAGGCCCTGAAACAAGCAGGCTTGTGAGCACTCTCTCCCATGCGTGGTTCACAGCACTGCCTCGGCCCTGCCCATCAGTCAGCTCGTTGTGCGTTAATTTGTTAACGTGCTTGCTGCAGGGAGGCCACTACAACGAGGGTCCCTCCCTGCCCACTCATGGCCCCAATACACCTCACTCACGGTAGCTGCACCCCAGGGCGGGGGATTCACAGGCACAATCTGGCCCCTCTAGGAGCCCCCAAATTCGGGTTAGTGCCTTGAGCAGCCAGCTTCATCTGGGGCTGAGTGGAGCCCAGGGCCTGCTGCGAGCCCACAGGCTGAAAGATGCC